GAAAAAGGAAAAGTCTCATATTTCGAGCATCGTGGCTTCATACATAGGTTCGCAAATACTTGTAGCGAATGTTTAACTACGCAATTTGAGACTTATCCATTTTGCGAGTTTGTTTTGCGCAAGGAACCTAACAGAGATTTTCGATACTAACATTTAACCAGTTTCTGAACTAAACTTGTGGAAATTTTTTATGACTCTAGCATTTCACTTCTCCTTCCCTTTCCCTAGTCTGCGGTCATTGTAACTCGCTATTTGACCCCCGGCCAAACTGGGCTGAGCGCAGTTCCAGTAGTTGCCCCGAGTCGAGTCGAAGCGAATATTAGTAGTTGCTAGTTTAAGTCATAGAGGGTCTTAACAGAAAGGAAGGGACTGGAATTATGACTGAAAGGGAGTTGGAACACTGCTTGGACGTGAGAATTGAAAACAGGGAGAGGGACTGTGGGGAATGGACTCATACGGGTTTATTATGCATAGCAAAAAAACTTGGTGCTGGCTTTAAGATGGCAGATTTGCTCTTGCCAGCCTTTACTCACCATCAGATTTCTTGCTTAGCACAATAAACCGATAAAGAAAAGAACTGCGATTCAACTAACTGATGGAAAGGGCGATTTTGCTGTTAACAAAACCTGAGTGGGATGACAGAAGGACGCATGACGATCGCGCAGCGGCGACATAACTGTTAGACCCAGAATATGCTTCGGAATCACTTTGAAATATAGGCATTTTGACAAACTCATACTTTTAGCTCCTTGACATAACATACACAAGCTTCGAGTTGATTTTTCGTTTTGGCCTCGTGCATTTGCAGAACCTTCCCGATTGGTATACTTCTAGAAGTGCAGTTTTTTCAGTACCACAGATATGGCTGCGTGTATGTGTGTATGCATCTTTTAAATCAAAAGTTTGTCTTGGACTTAATCGCTTCACAAAAACTGGGTGCAGTCATGCATCAAACAGCGGATTTGAAAGAACTAATTGCTACGCGAGCCGAAAAAATTCCGAACGAAATTTGAAACGGCTGAACTACTATTTTCTTGTTTTCTGTAGCACGCATTACTAAACAATATAGGTCTTATCTATGGCAATGTGCACAAAAATTAATGGAAGTGGAAATGTCTTTTTTTAAGTAGAATGCATCTCCGCTTTCACGGGACAGTCACCAAATCGGATTAGTCGGCTGCTCCGTGTATTAATCAAACCCAATTCCCCTTGCAGCGGCGCGTTTTTCACGGTGAAAATTTTGTTCATACTAAACCCGCTCCTCCGCTTAATCCTCGCTACAACTCCCGTACTCTACTGCTCCATCTGTCATTGTCTTTCCAACCTCGTTCGCATAAAAGCCCTCAGAATTCAACTTTTAACTTTTACAGTTGCTTATACACCAGACACAAACACACGCTGCACAAAAACACACGCCCTCAACATCTACACAGATACATAACATACACACGCACACAACACATGTGTGTCTATCCTCTTACAAATCCACGCAACATCTTCATTTTCACGTTTTTATAACATTTACCCAGGACTGCGTTTATCCTGAATTTTGCTTATGCTTCGTTTGATTACAGGGCCATTTTAGACTACCAGTACAGTATTTTATTGAAATTTTATAGTTTGCCAAGCGCATCAGTAAACTGTAAAGTTGCTATAGACAACACTATGTGAGCATCATTTCCATCTTTCGTGATCCTCGGTTTCGAGGAGAGCCGGTACGAAGCGAAATGAGGAAAAAGCAAATAGGTACCTCTGACAGTCTCTTCAGTTTGCCGTATCCAGGCAGTTTTTGTGGAATCTCCATCTCTTTAAACTGCCAGTAGTAAGAACGGTATTGTTTCTTCATCACTGTTACGCTAAAACCAGTAGCATATGCATGCAGAACGCAGTTACTGACAAAATTTTTGAATAAACGTCAAATGTGACGGGTTTGAGTAATGAAAATGATAATGCTTTAAGATCGGAAGGTTTTTTTTTTTTGGACCTCACAATTTGAATCCAGTATTTGGAATTTAAATTCAATGACTTTTTGAAAA